TTCTAGCCACAGACTGCCTTTGAATTATTCCTGTTAAAATACCAATTTCAGCAAATCATCTCCCAGGCTCAAAGACCCGGCTGAAACTTCGGGTCTTTTCCGTGACAGTGTAAGGTCCACCTCTTCCAGCTGACTGGCTGACTCTTCATGCATCACTCATTTTTAGCACCAACATCACAGCTAAAGATATAAATCCTACTCTAATGCCAAAAATCAAGGACAGCACTATTTTTTAAAAATAATACAAGATGCACACGAATAAATTCTCATGGCATAAAAGAAAGAAAGGAAAAACTCCCAAGCAAACAAAAGAAGAAGAAAAAAACCCTCTAGAATATAGAAAATGAAAAGTAAAAACTCCATATCCTTTCACATTCCCCTCCCTGGGGGCAATCACTCTCAGAGACTCACTGTCTCCTAGACCTATCTGTGCCCTTTTAAGCACACAGATAAAGATGCGGTCATTTTATTTTGCATGGTTCTTTTTCATAATTGGGATCGCTTTGAGTTTGCTGGCTTTAGCTTGTCGTTTCCATGTAACAACTTGTCTTAGGGGCCTTTTCCAAATTGCAGAAGATTTTTAAGGATGTCTTTACACAGTTCATTTTCCCGTTGATGGACGCTGAAGCTGTTCCCAAATGAAACAATAATTGCATTTTACCCTCCATCACATTAAATTACCATTTTAAAAATAGGAATTTTAGTCAAAATAAGAAATGAATTCCGATGTTGTTGGTGTTCGTGTTTTTGTTTTGTAACCTAATATATAACCATAAAATTGTATTCTTAGATGTATTTCTATATATGTAAATATCATTTCAATAAAAATCATTTAAGAGAAAGAAAGCAGAGGGCCCATATCCCCCCTTTTTTTTAACATAAAAGCTCTGGGATCTCAACAGGTACATTAGTTACATATCGTTGTATAATAAATTATCCCCAAATCTATTTCAGTCATTATTTCAGTTTGGGGATGTCAGCTCAGTTTAGTCTTCAGGCCCAGGGCCTCCCAAGGACAGCCAGTCGTCAACCAGACCAGCACTCAACCCAAAGCTCAGCTGGAGGAGAACCTACTTCCAAACTCACTGCGGCCAGGCCTGGGTGCCTCTCGGGCTGATGGCCGGAGACAGCAGTTGCTTGTCATATGGGCCTTTCCACAGGGCTCCTCCCAACATAGTAACTTACTTTACCCACCCAGTGACAGCTCAGCGAGAACTGCACACTCAATGCCCATCTAACCCCAAAACTCATGTATAGCATTTAAACTTCATTTCTTCCCAACGTGGTAATATTAAGAGAGAGATTTTTGGGAGAGATAATTAGGATTAGACAAGGTTATCAGGATGGAGTCTTCATGAATAGGATTAATGGCTTTATAAGAATACCAAGAAAGCATCTCACTATGTGAGGACACAGCAAAAAAAAAAAAAAAAAAGGCTATCTATGAACCGGACACTAACTAGATATTGAATATGTACCACCTTGATCTTGGATTTCTCGGTCTTCCACAACGGTGAGAAATAAATGTTGCTCATGTCATCCAATTTACGGTATTACAGAAGTTCGTGCTGAATAGACAGTGAGAAAGAGGGAAATCATAGTCTTTTTGTAACCTAGTCTCAGAAATTATATTCTATCACTTCAGCTGTATTTTGTTCACTTAAAGCAAGATGGACCCTCACTCAAAGGGAGGAGTTACACAGGCGCAACTAGGAACCCTCTTACAAGTTACAAGTAACCAGGCACGGTGGCCCATCTCTGTAATCCCAGGATTGGGGAGGTTGAAGCAGAAGGATTGCTGTTAGTTCAAGGCCAGCCTAGGCTACACAGCGAGTTCAAGGCCTGTCTGAACTACACAGCAAGACTTTATCCAAAAAAAAACCAAAAAGTTACAAGTGACTTGGCTTTTCTGTACTTCAGTTTTGTCAACTGTAAACATCTGCTTTACAAAAAACAGCATGAGACTTAAAAGAAGTAAAATACGTAAAGTAGCTGGAACTGTAGTAAAAGGTGAGCACTAGAGAAACATCAGCTAAGTAAGGATACAAAAGTAATGCAAAAATATGTAGACCTACTCTGTGCACCACAGAGTCCACAGTGACTGTTGAAGAATGAATTAAATGACTCACAAATATTTAAAGGAAGTTTGAACATGTGGAAATTCCCTCAGAAACAGAAGTATTTTATAGAATTAGCATATTACCGGGGGCCACAGTCACCATCAAATTTCCCTTAAGCTTTCCCTGTATCAGAAATTTCTGAGCTCCAATATACCCCGTCATCTTTTTAAAAGCCAACCACATTTTGCTTTGCAAATGCAAACCATTCACTTCATTGCAGAAGTTGCCCAATAAAACCACAGAATTTGTAAATTATGGAAAGAAGGGCAAAAGTTTGTCTGCCTAGCTGGAACATTTCTTATTGAGCTCAGCAGTGTAGGTGAGATTAGGCCCTTGCCTGTGAATTGTTTTGTTCAAATTCACCCTGATATTTTATGGAAAGAAAAACTGCTCAGTACACCTCAAGTTGAACAGAACAGGATGGGCTATGAAGAGGCTTGCTTACTGTCTGCAATCCGCGACTCAGTGGGTGAAAGAAAGGGGGTTAACCTAGCAGCAAGCAGATGTGGTAAATGAGTCATGAATCTGGAGATTATCAAAGATGGACCCTCTTCCCCCAGGCCACAAAGCCACCCACTAAATAGAGAAACAGCAACACTCCCAAGGGCAAATAAACCTTGAGACAACTTAATTCAGTGCACATTGTGAATGCCCACTAGGTAGAGGCTCTGAGCTGGCTGCCCTCTTGGTAGAAGAGCCTTAGCTAACAATGCTCACCAAGCAAATGCCATCTTTCTCTGATTCAGATACCCCTGGGAAAGAGGAAGAAAAGCTGGAAAGACCAGCTTGTCAGTCTGGAAAGGTCACTGATTTGGCTCCGACAGCAGGCCTTCCACTCTCTTGCCTATCAGCAACTGCCCAGAGCTTGTTTTTTTAATTATCCTGGTCTACTTAATCAGGAGTGTAATGGCATCAATGACAAAGGAAGAAGAAAGTTCTCTATACCAAGAAGGCATAGACTAGAAGAGTGGATGGTTAGTTGTATTCTTAGAAAAAAATAAACCAAATTCTTTCTGCGGAAAACTGCTTTTCCTGTACTTTGTTTAAACACACCCTCCCCAAAACCAAATTGCTTTCTGAATGATCAGGGCCTATCTAGCTAATCATGAAAAGCTCATGGAGGCAAGGATGAGCACCCCACTTCTCCAAAGAGAACAGCAAGCCCTGGGAATGGGGAGCACCTCTATGGAGAGGCCAAAGCTGAAGGGGAAGAAAACACGTTCCAGTCAAATTCCAATTGCTTGAGTTTGAAACTGAGTGGAAAATACCACATTTTCCCCAATAACAGCGAAACTGTATTTTATTGTCATTGCTATTATGTTCTTTTGCAACAACAGTGAAAATGGAATAGAATCTGATTTACTTTTTCCTCTGAAAACCAGCTAAAAAAAGAATTTACATGAAGTTTGCCCACAAACTTCACTGCTTTATTACAGGCTATGCACCTGATGATCGAATGTGATAATCTCAATGCTTCGCCCAGTCTGAAAGTAGAAGTCGGGCAAAATTAAGAGGGTGATAGTTTAGCAGTTAAACTGCATGTCTGGGGCAGGTTCCCACCCCAGAAATATAAACCTGAGCAAATTAACCTCCCTCCGTCTGTTTCTTCAATTGTAAAGGAGCTATGAAAATAGTATCTATTGTGTAAAATGGTTACAAAATACTCAAAACCATCTGTGCCCATGGTAGGCAACCAATAAATAGTAATTATGGTTATTTTATCTTCTCCCAGCTTCTATTCAAAAATTCAAATTCAGCCGTGTTACATAGTTTAAACACACACACACACACACACACACACACACACACACACACTGGTTTCTCGTATCATTATGGTAAATACCTTATTCATCCAGCTGAGGTTGCCCATATGGTAGCCCCACAGCCCTACACTCTCATTACTCCCCTCCAGGTCCCAGAATTTCTGCAATGCATCCTCTCACTGTGTGCTTTGGCCTTGGTATATCAACTTCCCTCCTCCTGTCTTCCCTATGCACAGGAAGTCCTCTCCCTTGAGTGGTTGTTGGCTTTGCTCCCTTAACAGACTGTGAATGAGAAATTCTCAGAGCCTGAACAATAGCTGGCACATAATATATAAATGGTCAGGAAACATTTATTGGGTGACTGAATGATATCTATACTCCCGGTATTTTTTTTTTAAGCTTCAAATCCAATTTCACCAAATCCATCCATGAAGTCTCTCTAGATCTTTTACAAAAACAAACTTTATTTCTTCTGGGCTCTAATGGAATGTCTCTTGGACAGACTCGATTCACTGATATTCACTAATATTAACATTAAACATTTATTAACTTTTTAAAAAAATAGGTAATGATTAAGCAGCACAGTTCTAAGAGCAAAGTTCTAAGAACTTGGCATATATCAAACTCATTAAATCTACAAGACAAGTTTCCTCAGATGAGGAAACTGACACCCAGCAAAGTTAAAGAATTTGTCCAAAGTCACACAGATGGCAAGTGGAGGGCACCATTTTTCAGATGGTCCTACCTTGTCTCTCCTACAAAGAGTATCCATTCCCAGCTAGGTAGCCTCTTCCCCACGTCCAAGCTTAAGTACCGTTTTCACACAAGCCATCTGACTCTCCAGAGCTTGTGTGGCGTGTCTTTCACCTCGCACTAAGCCCTGGACTTGGGTCTCATCACTCGATGAGGGCGCCCAGTTTCATACTGGCTGGTCTCCCATGTCTTGCTCAGCCTCAAATGAGCCCTCTTTTCTGACACTCCTAGGTGACCTCTTGTTCTCCCTGCCAACTCTGTCCACGAACACCCTCGACGCCTTTTATGCAAGTCAGAGGCATTCGGTTCAAGGAAGCCTCAGTAGGTCCACTGTAGCAAGAAGAGTTGTTCGCCTCCTACTCACCCCGCAGGGCAGGACCAAGGAGCGACCCAACTCCACACCCCTCATCCCGGGGCTAGGTTCTGTGCCCGCTGCTGCCCCAGCCCGACCCCTCGCGCTGCTCGCGTCCACGGCCCCAGACCAAGGCTTCCCCCGCGGGCTGGTGACTGAACAGCGAGAAAAGCAGCCTCTGGGTTTCCGACCTGTCAGGGGCGCTCGCGTCCCGCCCCGCCC